AATTATTTATTGTCATTTCCATTATATTTGTATTTCTCTTCTTCAACAGGAATCGCCATATGCATTTATATATCGACTGAATTACCAAATCTTTATAATATAAATCATAGCCTACATTAGTAAATTGTTTATAAATAATATTTTTTAAGAATGCAACTAGAAATATAGACTACACTGCATGTATACTTATCGATCTTATCGGTATGTATGGAATGTCATCATACAACAGGTCTATAGTGTGTAGATTGCATTGCGGTCATCCCAGTTCACTGTAGAATTCCGCCCCATTCATAAAAAGAGGTACTTGAAACAAGATGGACTGAAAACCTTATAACCTATGAGTAAGCTCCTCTCTGGGCCCTCTTGACAATTCAGTGATAATAATGGAAGATTTTTTATTGTTACTGTCGAACATAATAGGTTACAGAATTTAGTTAGTGTGTCATTGTGAATTCCTCAAGGGTACTCGAGCACGGCACTACAATATTGTCTAATCTTATAAGCTCTCATTTTAAAAAGAGCCTTGTAAGAATTATTTTTAGAGACAGAGCACTATAGCATGTGATGTGTACAATCTTTAAATTGATGTCATTTTGAACAATTGTTTGGAGAAAAAAAACAGAGGGTAAGCCTATATACTGAAAAGGTACACCAAAACGTTGAAGTGAAGTGCATCCCCTAACCTCAAGCACAGGGATTATACTCTTCATTACCAAAAGTAAACTAAAGGCGAATTAACGACGTCCATCAAATACCATTTCATGATCACGGTGAAGAAGGATTTTTTTTATCCCCCCCCCCCCCAACAAACGAATCATAATATTTTGATAATATGAGTCTCTTATCAATATTCTTTAAAATAAATATCATGACAGAACATTATTTTGTCGATTTTTTTCTTCTCACATAATAATCATGATGGTGCTTTGCTTTTCGTCGGGTATACTTTGCTCACGAATGAAACGCTGAAGTATTTCTAACGTCACTGTGAATTTCAATCAGTATAATCAAGCTTGATTAACAATATACAGTATGTGTAAAAATGCATAAATAAGAGTAAAACAAAAAATCATTCGCATAAAATTATTCTCCTAAAATCAGTCAAAACATTTACAATAACAATGTCCTACATAATATAATATGTTTCCTTTTTAATAATCCAAACAGACAAATAAAACAAAACAAAAGGAAAGAAGAAAACAAAAAGGACCTTTGTGAATAATTATGACGATATGACACTAATTACAAAATATATAGAAATAATCAAACTACTGCCAATACAAACAAAGACCCCACGTTGTATATTTTGCATTCATAATGGCCATAACTTGGCAAGAGAACAACTTTCAAAGTCAATTACGTAACACACCGGCCGCTATCTTTGTTTGTAAACACTATCACGTGAAAATTGTAGAAAGAAACAAACTACTGCCCATACATAATAAGACCCCCACTTTGTAGTATACATGCATGATGGCCATAACTTGGCAAGAGAACAAAATACCGCCAATACATACAATTACCCCCACGTTGTTTTATACATGCATGATGGCCATAACTTGGCAAGAGAACAAAATACTGCCAATACATGAAAAGACCCCCGCGTTGTTTTATACATGCATGATGGCCATAACTTGGCATGAGAACAACTTTCTAACGCTTCCCCCTTCCCCCTCCCACAACAATACCAGTTAGACCACACATTTTGGCGCTCGGGTCAATGTCTGATCGTTGCACTGAGTGCCACCAATCAATACTGTCAATAGCGGTAACAAGTTTTGTTCCTAGGCTATATACCAATTACGGGTACATTCCAACGCCTTGTTCTTTTCAACACCATTATCAACATCACCTGTGTATTTTACAGTATAATCCTATCCTCTTTTCTCTGAATACTTCTCCCATGTAGGTCGAAGAAGTGGTAATTTTTGTTTATGAATGGGGTTGGAATCCGGCGTGGGTATTATTACGTCATACACCGGCCCGCTATCTTTTGTTGGTAAACACTACCACGTTGTTGGGTTCCCGCGCTCTTGAATAGACTTGGCCTTACAGACGTTTTGTCTTACAGATTTACGCATCGGTCGGTGAACTTACGATTTTTTTTATTTACCTATGCCTGCCGATAAAAAGGGGGAAAAAGAAGATGTTAGTGTTTATAAAACATTTTGTTCAAATTGGCCCATGCAAACCGGAAAACGGTGCAAAAAAAAAAAAAAAAAAAAAAAAAAAAAATGCACGATGCTTTTATTACGTTGGATGCCAATAAATAAAGCAATTATAGGATCATACTCTTCTCCTAAGTCATTTTGTTTTCTGTCGACTTCTATAAGTATAATAGTGGTATAGACTGCTCCGCATTACACGGTACTGGGTTGACTTCTGAGTCGCCACGTTTATTTTGAATGGTGAAGAAAACTAAAAGTCGGTCCTCTTAAATTATAAGAGACTTTTTTGTTATCTCTGATACCCAGTCTATATTATATATTTTCCCCCTTATAAATCCCCACAAATGGGGGGGGGGGGGGGGGGTGTAAGGATGATGCATGAGCAAATTATGTGGCAGTCACTATTTAAATCTCGTCGCATGGAGAACTCACTTGCAAGTCATCCCGAGTTCCATGATCCAGGGAGGTGAGTCTTGCATGATCCAAAGACTGAAAAAAAAACCCCACTGAACTTTGATCTGCACGCAAGCCAAGAAACCAAAAACGTCTTAATTTCAAAACTATCAGTAAACAAAAGTCCTGTGACTATGATTGGGTCTTTGGAATGTCTGTCAATGCGGTTTTATGAATGAACGCTCTTTTCCATCCGTTCTATTGTACTAGTACTGTAGTAGAAGAAAACACAAAGGGGTCAAATTCTAAAGGGAAGATTCCGCCCATAAAAAAAGCCGGTAGTACCGGTATATAATTATGCACATGCTTTCCCATCCTGGATTTTTTTCGTTGATTTTCGCCTGACCTGAACTAATATTATGTCTTTTCCGTGACATAGCAAAAAAGTGAACATAAATAAAAATGCGTTTTGTCAAGAAAAATGTGTCATGGTTTTTTTTATATTGCATAAAGCCTTTTTGTTTGGAATGGATATGCGTTGATGAAAACAGAGACATTACAAAAAACTATATTTTTATAAATTCATGAGGCAGACAGGGGTCCTTATTGAAGAGATGACATAAATTATATTTCCATTCGTGACAATCTGAAATGAAACAGAAATGTTCACTTCCAACTTGCACGCATAATTATTGAAGGTATATCAACTACACGCACTGAGTTGTTATACATCCCCATCTCTCTTTACACAGACATGTTTGTGACTGTATGCATTTACTGCGAATAATAAAAAAAACTAATCTTAATTTTTCATTTAAGATTAGACTTCTTAAATCAAGTTAGAGGTTCTGCAGCTTACCAAAAAGATCATGCAACCATTACTGTATTTCAACTTCCTCGATCCGACAGAATTTTACGCTCATCCTGGATGCGGTACAGGCATATCCGCCTCCACAACTTCCACCCGGTCGTTCACTCCTCCAACTTTATAGCATATTTGGTGATATTATCCCTGCATTTCCATTTTCCAAGTAACTAAAACGATACTTTGAATGAAACCAATGTTTGATGGTCATGATGATTATATGACCCTCAAAAATTAGTCTAAACGAGGAAAAGAAGTGCATGCGTGGTAAAACCGCAAGGACCACATTGCCTATACGATGCACTCAAGTTCCTCAAAGTTCTAAAATATTAAAAAAAAGTATTAATCATAATTAACTTTATTAAGTTTACTACTATTATTTCTATCACCAAATTGGTTGCATCTCACTAGAAATGTGAAAACATTATATTTAAAACAAGACACTTATTGTAAACAACAACAATAACAATACTACTACTACTACTTCTACTACTACTTCTACTACTGCTAATGATGATAACAATAATAACAATAATTCTACTACAGTTCTTCTACTACTACTACTAATAATAATAATAAAATATGACAATAACAAGGATAATAATACTACTAATAAAATAACGACAATAACAAGGATAATAATGATGATGAAAATATAATACAAATACAAATAGTAATGAAAATAATAACAATAATGATATTGATAATAATGGAAATAATAATGGAAATAATAATGATGATAACAACGATGATAATAATGAAAATGATAATAATGGTGATGGTACAAATAATAATAAACAGATAGGCCTATACCTGTACCAAAACAACAGCATGCAAGTAACAAGCATGCAGAGATAGCTCCAAAAAAAAAACCGGACCACATACTTCCGCCCGCATGGCAATGTTTGTTTGCACACGAGGGCGTTCACCGAGGGCCCCCACCACAACAAGGAAATATTTACATTATTTTGTATAATGATTGCTGAATAATGCTTTTAAGTGATTTTTTCATAAGTTTCCATCAACGTTGCATGTAAACACATACAATATACCACTTCGTATTTAGTAGTTGTAGTTACAGCACCTATAGTATTGGACTGACTGGAGCTATATATACGCACAATAGTTTTCGTATACGAAAAGTCTTACTGTATGACAGACTCACATTATTATACAATAATTAGTAGTTATTTACATGTATACACATATCTTACATTTTTGAGAGAAATATACTGCTACAATTATGATAATTGCTTCATGACTAATGTTTCGGTCATCGACACATACATTCACTTTTCCAGGGAAACCAAATCACGAGACCCGCATAGCACATAGCTATTCTCGTGCACGACGTTGAGTATTATTCCGAGTAAGGTCATTCATAGCGGTAGGCCACTCCCAGACGTCCTTATTTGGTTGATCACGCGCGCAAAGCATGTCATGTGATGTGATTGTGCCGAATCAACAACGTGTATTTGTAGTCATGAATATTCATTACCCTTCTTGAGCACATGCTCGTGTTTACTAATAGTATACTTTCCGCGCCGGTATACGGGTATATAGTAACGGCTCACACGGAAAATCACCAGAAACAATCAAGAATTCATCGGAGTAACATCTCGCTTGCAACTTTACTCCGGATTTACACTTTCATAAGTCTACTCGCTCTAAGAGAGCAACAACATTGGATATTTATCATAATTTGTTCCTTGCCTGATTATTATTCGTTTTGAAACTGAAAAGACTGAATTGGTTGAAAACGTGTTGGTCGCTTGTTTTGTTGTGATTTTCATGTTTACATCTTCAGTGTTTTGATCAAATCGGAATCATCATCAAGACAACATGTCTGAGAAGACGAAGTCAGAGAAAACGGCATATACCGAAATGGTAAGTTGAGTTCATTTTCATTATAGTTATTCATTCTCATTTATTTGTTTATTTAAAGTGTCCTTATAATGATTTATTAAATTTGAAGAAGATGATATCAAATAATTATAATGAATAACCTAAACGTTTTGTAAGTGTTTCCTCCAGCCAAGAATGTCCTGCTTACTTACCATATTTACCATGCTCTGCTACTAATAGTGGTCAAGATAACTTAGAAACTTAGAAAAGAAAACCATCCTCGCAAGATAGAACATAATCATTCATTCAAATTGTAACACCCTTACAATAAAAAATATGCTCCTCAAACACTTCAACTCAACATGCAAAGAGATCAAGAGTCAATGATCGGTGATGGTCGAAACATAAACAGATAATGTTTGAATTTCAACTCTACGATATTACAACCGAATATTTGCTTGTTGCGAAACTATACTAATTCTAACATTTTATTTTTTCTTCTTGCTTTCTTGTAGCCGCAACAGCAGCCGCTAACGATGAAACTTAGCAATATTCCCGACACTCCCCAGAAAGAAACGATCGAATCGGAAGAAGTCGATGAGCGCGGAAACTGGACGAATCATCTCGATTTTCTACTCTCCTGCATCGGATACGCCGTCGGTCTCGGGAATGTCTGGCGATTTCCTTATCTTTGCTACTCTAACGGTGGAGGTGAGTTAGAATTACTTTTTTTAATGATGGATAATGGATCTTTATTTGTTATGTTGATGTTGATGTTGATGTTGAGATGGGTGCACCGTGCAAGAAAAGGCCAAACGGAAAGAAAGTGTCGAGACATAGAAGATTTTTCTACGAGGAATGTTATTGTTGTTGAATTGTCTACTAGTCTAGTTAAAATCATCATCATACACCAGTTCTGCTGTAAAATATTATAATTATGAAGTATCCCGACTATTGAACAGCAAGAAATTGTATCAAAATGCAAGTACGGGAATGTCTGTTTAATATAACTCGTGAAAGAATGCGAACATATTTTAGACCTGAAAAGATATCATATTGCCTTGTCTGCAATACAATATTTAATTCTTTCATTGATATATTCATGAGGAGCATCGTTTGTAAATAAACAAGAGGAATATCTTCATCGGAATAAGATTGAAGTTGAATACTGTACTCTAATATTTCTACTCAAGATGATATTATACATTTTTTACAAGAAACAAATGCGTACCGAAAAAGCCGGTACGAAAGCCCATGCTGCATGCTTTGTTGATGTTGGTCAAAACGCCGGTAGAAATTCACAACAAGAAAATGCCGGTTGCCCAGCCCTTTGGCTGCGCGCCAATTCCACATTTACATATTCACCCGCCTTCTCTGAAAAACTTTCCATAGAGAGCGTGGGCACTACGTCAATGACACACATCATCAATATTTAACCATTGTGACGTCAATAGAACAGCGAGCCAATGAATGCCTCGGATTCCGAGGGCTCGGCTATTATGATTAATATTCATGAGTAATCGTCATCACTGGGTGACTGAGCTTTGTTGGCAAAGAAGAGCGTGGGGAAAATTCCATGACGTAGTCGCCCAGGCAGCCGCTAATTACCCTTGCGGAAAAAAGCGGACGTGGAACATTCCCGAAATATTAGAAGTACGACGTATTCTTGTACGGGGAAATGAAAATCAGGATAAGATGTTCCATATCCGAGATATAATTTTCTAAACCCTGATTAAATTCCTAATATTTCCTATATTTCTGTATTTACATTTATTGAATAGGCCTATATAAAAAAAATAGAAATACACTTAATAAAAGATTTGATTTAAAGAAAAAAAATGAGTTCATTTTACACTTTACTCTTGATTTCTCCTCGCATTGCGTATAAGGGTTATGAGTATTATTATCGCTCTTCTTTTCAATTTAAAGATTTAATAACCCCAAAACAATACAACAAAGAAAACGTAACATTTTATAATATGTTTTTTTCCCGCAAATACCAGACGATACTATTTGTAATCATCATTATTATACATGTATAATTCCACAAGCTTTATTTCCGTCACTGCTTTTTACCATTATTCGGTCTCATGCGCATGCAAACTGATGAGTCAGTTTTCCCCAAATCTTCATCCTGAGTAATATTTGACTTTAGTTTTTATTGTATTTTTCAGGAGCGTTTTTGATCCCCTACCTTGTGATGCTGTGTCTGGCCGGTGTGCCTCTCTTTTTCCTCGAGTTGGCTTTCGGGCAGTACTGCAGCAAAGGACCAATCAGGGCATGGAACGCAGTGCCTCTTATGCGAGGTAAGTACCCATTGACCAATCAGAATCAGTGTGCTTAGTGCTTTTAGGCGTTTGCTGCAGACCGCGCGAGTGGTTTTGTGACCGCAGAGTGTGGTTTCTTTGCAAAATTATAGCGGAAGTCGGAATCAGAGGAAAAAAAAGGATTGGGGTGTACTACTGTACTATAATAGCTTTTCCACTGTTTAATCTTCATTTGTCATGACATAATATGAAGAACTGTTATGAAAGTGATCTCAGTCTAATAACTCGTTATAAGAAGAAAACTTGCCATTATTTAGAAGCCATATAAGGAGGAGAAGGTGAAGAAAAAAATATTTGGTTCTGTATAATTAAACCCGGCGATCTCTAGTATCCATCTATCTTGTAAGTTTTTAAGTTATACAAGATATTAGGGATTGAGTGCAAAATATTATAATAATATATTAAGGTGAAGTCTGATCATGGATACTTCGAAAAAGCTTAACTTTATTTCGAGGAAACCATATAACATTATGATATATATATCAAAAGGCTTCGAAACTAAGAGCCCACATTTAAGAATTATCCTGTTTTCCTCCTCCCTCAGGTGTCGGCTATGGTATGGTGGTCGTATCGGCAATCGTCGGTATCTACTACAACGTGATCATCACCTACTCGCTCTTCTACTTCTTCAAATCGTTCGCCAGGGTCCTTCCATGGGAGGGTTGTCACCATGCCTGGAACACCAAGTTCTGCTCCCAGCTCGTTAAGGAGTGTATCGAGGCTGACGGCATCGTCACCGAGAACAACACTTGTGTCCCCATCGGCAACCTGACGGACGCGGAGATGGAGAGCTATAACGTGACCTACTCCGACGACGGCAACATCACCAGTTACCTGGACCCCCTGCAGGCTAGCCGACAGAGCGCCTCAGCCGAATTTTACAAGTAAGGAATCCAAATAATGAATTTGATCAATCTCTTTATCTTGATTTGATCGGTTCTGTAAATCAAATTATTTGCAGATGTTGTATATATAAAAAAACCACACAAACAAAACAAAAAGTTAGCCCTGAATAGATGTTAATTTTTTTCGACCGTGCAAACTTAGAACGTTGATAGTAATATGGCCAAAAGTGGAACAAAGTTGACACGAAATAGCAGACGCCCCTTTCGTTTTTGTTCTTATCACACGCGCTATGCGGAAGCTGCTTGATTAAACAATTAACATTTATAAACGTGACTTGGTGACGTAGGGATTGTTGAACTCTGTGCTATGATTATTTCTAGTAATTAGTTTTCCTCCATTTAAAATTAATCATCCATGCATTATTGACCAACCGTTGAGGCCGGATGTGAAGAGGTGTCCGAGTGAATTTGTTGTCCTTCATGGAGGAAAGTTTGGATTGAGCAGATTGTATCAACAGATGGCGCTATTACAGGCTAAGAAATACACATGCTTGAGCATCAAACTAACCAATCTCCATGAAGAATTTTTTTCTTCTTATCTTCAAGACATTCAATGCTTACGATTGGATGCAGAATAAATGGAGCTTATAAACTGTATCCTAGTAATTTTCACTTCATTACTTGCCTTTTAATGAAAACTAATCAATGTTCTCTCCCTTTTGTTTGGTCTCTCGCAGGTATGCCATGTTGAACGAATCTGGTGACATTGGCGACCCTGGCATGATCAGCTGGCAGTTGACCCTGTGCCTTCTATTCGCTTGGTCCCTCATGTTCCTCTGCCTGGTGAAGGGTGTCAAGTCCTCAGGCAAGGTTGTCTACTTCACCGCCACCTTCCCCTATGTCGTCCTCTTCATCCTCTTCATCAGGGGCATCACCCTGGAGGGACAGATCGATGGCATCAAGTTCTTCATCACCCCCCAGTGGCACCTCCTCAAGGACGCCAAGGTATGGAAGGATGCTGCCGTGCAGATCTTCTACTCCTTGAGTGCATCCTGGGGCGGGCTCATCACCCTCTCATCCTACAACAAGTTCAAGAACAACTGCTTCCGCGATGCCATGATCGTCCCCATCGCCAACTGTGCTACTTCCATCTTTGCTGGTTTTGTCATCTTCTCCATCTTGGGTCACATGGCTCATGTCCTGAACAAACCCGTTGAGAGCGTCATTGATGAACGTAAGTTTGTAGATCAGTCAAGGAATTATAATTTGCCAGATACTTTCAAAGCCATTGACTATATTTCATTATCAATTATATGTATTTGGAGATTTTGTTAGAGATTCAAATTATGGAATCAATAAAAAGGGTTATTGTCAAGTCATTCAAATGTTCTTAGGAATATTGTTAAAAAGAAAAAACTAACTTAACAAAACTCTGACTTCAGTACTCAACTTTCATGGTGTAAAATTTACTCTCCATTCAATGTTACAAGATGCGCATTCAGACTCTAATGATTTCTTCACTCTCCATTTTCCAATACAGAATTTGGTCTTGCCTTCATTGCCTACCCGGAGGCTGTAACCCTCCTGCCCATCTCTCCTCTCTGGGCTATCCTCTTCTTCTTCATGCTCATAACCCTCGGTATGGACAGCCAGTTCTGCATCATCGAGACTGTCACCACTGCCATCATTGACGAGTTCCCCTCCCTCCGTAAGAAGAAGCATCTCGTCGTCTTCGTCTACTGTTTCCTCGGGTTCATCTTTGGTCTGAGTTGCGTCACCCAGGCTGGTGGATACTGGGTTATCCTCATGGACAAGTACGCCGCTGACTTTGCCCTGCTGATCTTCGGTCTCTGTGAGTGCATCGGTATCGGATGGATCTACGGAGCCAGGAGGTTCCTCAACGACATCAGGACCATGCTCGGTGACAGGATCGTCGATCATCCACTCTTCAACTTCTGGCCTCTTACCTGGTGCTGTATCACTCCCGGTGTACTCCTGTTTGTTCTTGGCTTCAACTGGGCAACCTGGGAATTCCCCACTGCTGGCGATTACGAGTTCCCAACCTGGGCCCACGTCATTGGCTGGCTTATGATCTCTTCATCTCTCGTCTGCATCCCAGCTGTCTGGGCCTTCGAGTTCATCAGGGCTGGTGGAAGTTTTGCCGATGTAAGTACCATTTCTGTCTCTTGAGGTTCAGGGAATAAAATAAAGTTGAAATATCTGGGCTCTAGCCAAGATTTACCTGCATACTAATTATGATCACTTAGAATCCATTTTCCTTTAAGATGTTTACCCCCTCACCCCCAAAATGGCCCCTTATCTATTCATTTTAACTTTACCTAAAAGACAAAATATGTCGTAAAATTCGTTAGTTATTTTCTAGATATTACTTATAAACTAATGATGGTTTTATTTCCTCCCTTTCTTACAGAGGATAAAATACATGGTGACTCCTCGACCAGAATGGGGACCCCTCCATCTTGCTGACAGGCGTGAGGCCATTGAGGTTCACAGGCAGTTCGGTACCACCATGGGAGGTGTTCTAGACCCAAGCATCCCCGAGAAGAATGAGAAGAACTTAGAGGGTGGTGTAGGCTACCCCCTTCACCCGAACGGAGTCGTCCCCATGCAGACCATTGATGCTAATGCCTTCCACTTACAAGGTGCTGTCGGAGGAGTTGGAAGCACGGTATAAGGGTCCTTGTGCCTTTGACGTAGAGACTGTTTGTTACCATGGCTGCGGGCTTTGCGCCGATGCTGCAGTCCATGGGTAGGGAGATGAGGGTGAGATGGAGATGCTTTCGCCTGTTGAAACTGTTTAGTAAGTTCTTCTGTCAACAATACCTTGATGAACAGTTGAACAGCCTTTTTGAAGATCTGAAGGCAAGGCTACAAAGCAGGATCTGAAACTGGGAATCCGTCCTCCCCAATGGCTTAAAGACTAACTCGATGCCGCTAGCATCCGAGATCTGCCGTCCGCCTTGTAAAAGGGTTATGTTAGATCATGGAGTTAACTCCATGGTTAGATGGAGAAAAACAAGATGTGCCGTCCTCCTTGTTACAGGGTTTTGGTAAATGGAAGAAATCAAGAAAATCACGATCGCCTCTCAGTACAGAGCTAAGATTCGAAAATAGTTTCTATCCATTGTGACGTAAGAAGTCTTCATATATAGTGCCACCTCCCATACATGAATATTCTCCTCGAAACTGACAACTTTTGGGGAGAAGATGCTTATTCATTGCAATTGTAAACTGTATTTAAATATGCAAAGATGTTATTTATTACTACCAAACGAATTATCACAATCATCACAAGGAATACTTCACAAGTTCACAACTCATTGAATACGGGACTGGTTGAGGATAGGAAGAGCTGATCAAATTAAGCGTACCCTAAATTTCATTTTTGGAGCTAAAATACATGTAGCTACCTAACTTCCTCAGTATCCATACAAATAGAAAACATTTCTTGGTAAGCTGATAATAGGTGCTATCAAAGATAACCATCATTTGATTATCATCACTCTAACCTGTAAACATCGATTAAACTCTCATTTATCATGATTATTTATAGAATCTGAGAAGGTGGATTTCACATGAATGAATGATAGCCAGTGAAATCAATTAAGTGGAATAAAATGTTCTGTAAACAGTAATGTGCAATTCCATCTTCAGGTCGACTCATGACGTGCTAGCAAATGTAATCATATTTATTCATGACGTAACCATTTACTCAGTCGGAAATGTGTCAATGAAAATAATTCGTCTTACTATATTTTAGAGACACCCCTCTATCATTATTTGTATTGAAGCCTTCCAACTAAAATCTACCATCTCCCAACTATACATAACGATTGCATGGTGACTGTAAGAGAGAACAACCATTCACATACATGTAGCAATACCTTGTACATATTCTTGTATATTTAAAGTTATTTTATCTTCCAGCAAGCACAAAGAGATGTAAATTTCAAGTTTTCTATTTGGTTGTACATTTGTTTGTTGTACTTCTTTGGTTATGATTTTACTGCAGAGTGAATTGAATTTGTGATGTCTACGTTTTAACATGGAAGCCTTAAAAGTTACTGCCCAGTCTTGGTTAAACAAGAAACGGACGGCCATCATTGCAATTATAACAACCAATACTTTGATTTAAATATTGTACTGAGGATAGTTTGTTGAGAATATGTCGTCGCCAAGCTCCTAAAGTCCTGACGATGAAGTGCTGTCACTTTATCAAGAAGTGTGCTATTGGAATCAACTGACAGTACAGTCATAACTTTTTACTTTTCCGTAATAACAACAACCGGAAAGCAGTGTTAAAGTGTATATGTGTATGTGATGTATGAAATTATTTAAGAACTACTTGCCTTTAAACCAAGATGAAATACTCTTGAAAAGCAATTAAGTGTATATACTGCTTGGTTGCAGCTGTTATATAAATGTTGATATGTACATTACATAAATGATATTTATTTACTTTTTGAAATAAACAACTGAGTCATCACTTATGAATATGTCATTCGCTTGCGGGTGTAATGCATTTGAGTATTGTACATGTAAGTCTGCAAAGCAAACACGTGTGTGACCCCAATGTTTAATCATATGTTCGTCGCATTTCTAATGATAATATTTATCATAATTAATATGAGTTATGATAATATTTATCATATTTCATACGAGTTATTAACGTGATCATTCCATGTATAATAGACATTTATATTACTATGCCAAAAAACGGAATGCAAAAATTGCGATTTCATAAAAAGGAAAAGAAGAAATACATGCTTCAACATGATGACCCTTTTCCCTGTTGTATGTGAATCGTTGCTTTTGCTTTTTGCTTTTCTTCTGGACATTAATTTAGCATGGTGCTTAATGCTTTAGGACGCTTCTATCAAATTAACCATCATAATATAGATAGTTTTAAAATTGAATACTTTGGAAATGCAACTCATGACGTAACCAGTCGATAATCAAATCATATAATCAAAATGCATTACCAGAAATCCTAGACATTTCAAAGCTTATTTGGGGGGGGGGGGGGGGGTTGAAGGCAAGAACAAAATCTTGCAATAGATATCTAATGCCAACAAAAGGGAAACAAATAATGAATATCAAAAAATCACGAATTCTTATTAACTAAGTGGGGGGGGGGGGGGGGGTGGCATGTAAAATAATGGTAGTCTCAGTATAATAAGATAATGTGATTTACTGGATTTAAGAAATAATTATACATCCTTTTTCCTCATCTTGATGTATCATTTTATTCTATAATACCATTTTTCTTTATCTGCACAAAGTACAAAAATTTGGAACTTTTGTCTCACTGTGTATCTGTATCTATGAAATATGTTATGTATTTATACGAATGAATAATGAATGTTATGAATATGCGTAAGTCGCAGAATGTAAGAGCTGGAATAAAATGTCGAAATGAAAAAAATAATTGAAGGTGTTCTAGAATATTATTAATGTACTTTGAGTGCCTGTCTTTGGATCAGTGGAATTGAAAGAGGGAGGAAGAGAGAGAGAGGGAGAGAGAGAGAGGGGGAGAGGGAGGGAGAGAGAGAGAGAGAGAGAGAGAGAGGGAGAGAACCAAGTTTGTCATGTAAGCCTCAAGAAGGAATCCAGGCACGAAGCAAAAGATATGTATGCAATCTATTGGATTGGACAACTGCATAATTTGTTGAGAAGTTTTTTTCTTAAAAAAAATATCCTTCATTAATGACCACGGCCAAACAGCAAGCCTATCTGTATCGCGGTGCAAACAGAAACCTTATTATGTTCTCCTTTTTTAATTTTCTGAGACTGATAGTTCAACAATCCTACTACTTTCACGGCCAAGGGCAATCCAACCCTTGTAATAGGTTAATTTGTATATAAGCAGACATGTAGAGAAATATACATAAATTGGACCAATAATAAGAAAAGTATGAATGTTTGAAATATAAAATCCCTAAGTCTATGCGAATCTCAAATTGGCAGTTTGATATATTTGGATACATTTTCCGTTTGTCGTGTATTTTTTATGTTTCTCATTAATGCCTCCTCCCTTGGGGCACCACTAAAAATATATTATCGATAACATAATTATTATTATAAGTCCTCTAAAGAGAAAAGATCCTCCTGAGTCATGAATTTTTGAAAAATTGAAATTTCAGTCAGTTTGTGTGTTTGAACAAATGGGAAAGTTGTCCACCACTACATCGCAGAGACATTACCGATTCAGCCAATTTGGAGAGCCCAAAAACCTATAGTAGTTACGACTTTCGAGAATTCATAAATTTCTCAGTTTTGTCCGATTTCATTTACACTTTCACCAGACTACACTGCCGCCCCCCCGCCCCCCCCCCCCCCCCACTGAGTGTTATTTAGGGTACGCATATGCATGTTTCCTCCTTTTGAAAACACCCCATAAGTACGGTGTGTAAAGTCAATACATAATTTTTTTTTTCTTAACTAGTTGTTAATTTTATTGTATTCATATTATCTGTAATGTTACCCTTCTACATGTATATATATATATTTTTTTTTAATACTCTGTATTATATGTTTTTTTATGAAGAATGAAATAAATACCATACCATACCATACCATACCAATACGGGCCAGATTTTTGTGTACTACGAGCCGGACTTTGGTGCGTGAAAAGTACCCCTTTACCGGAAATTTTGGTAACACGCATGGTATAACCTTGGGGGGGGGGGGGGGGGGGGGGGGGGGGGACTACACTTCTCTGATTTTTCTGCTTTCCTCCAGAGTAGTTTGATGTAAAGGATGGATTTATATTAGGCCAGGGACGGAACATGAGTCACCTCACTGATTAGGCGTACTTTTAAATCAAAGTCGCTCTCCAACATCCATTATAGTAATCATTTATAAAGAAAACAAGAATCGAATGAAGGCACTTAATAATGAAACAGCAGACAAGAAGGAAATGTGGTGGTTTATTCAACTTTATTGTCATCAGGGGCTCTCGTGTAACTAAACAAGTTGATTGAATTTCAAACAAGAGCTCCTAAACACGATATCTTCAATATACATAAGAAAGCAAGGGGGCGTCATTATACAAAGCGATGTAGATAGAGGGCGACATTACTATTTCATTAGAGTATCCCATGGAGTCTCTATGATGAGACCAAACCATTAATTAATGCGAAATAGAAAAATTTGTCACAGTACAGGTGGAAAAGAATGATATTATGAATGTGGGTATAATTACAATACAGTTCTGAATTTCCCCTCCGTTGAGTTTTCGAGAGCCGTTGAGTTCTTGTGATTTTAAAGAGGGGATATAGGCCTGTACCGGACCTTACATTTCAGGAGTTTGGAAAACAAGAATTATCCAAGGCATATCTAGGTAATTGGGGACCAACAAGCTTTTCAGATACGTGAAGGTTTCGTTCTTAATCATTTATCAAGAAAACAAGAATCAAATGGAGGGAGTTAATTATGAAGCAGCAAACCTAAACGTCATATGGGTGGCTTATTCAACTTTATTGTCACCAGGGGCCTCTCGTGTAACTAAAAAAGTTACTTGAATTTAAAACAAGAACTCGTCAGCCGATCTCTTCGATATGACGTAAGAAAGCAAGGGGGGGGGGGGGGGGTCGTCATTATTCTAAACGATACCGATATTTAGAGGGCGACATTACTATTTCATTAGAGTAACTCAAGGAGTCTCTATGATGAGACCAAACCATTAATGCGAAATAAAATAATTTGTCAACGGTGGGAAAGAATGATAACAATGAATGCGTTTCATGATGTTATAGTTACAGTACAGCACTGAATTTCCCCTCCGTTGATTTATCGAGAGTCGTGGAGTTCTTGTGATTTGAAGGAGGCGATATCGATGTAGGCCTATACCGGACCTTAAATTTCAGGAGTTTGTAAAACGAAAATTATCCCAGGCAAATCACCAATGTAGTTGGGGACCCATTCTCTTTTCAGATACCTCCATGTTCCGTTCTTACTCAACTTTACTACGGCCGAGTCGAGCTGGTTAAACTCCGGGAAATCAAATAAGTATGATTCTCGCATTACTATCACAATCAGACCGCCTGTCAAATATAAAGACAAATAAAACAAAAACACAAAAACACTTTAAAAAAAAAATCAAATTGACGACAAATAAACAAATAAAAAAAAACTCTATTAAAAGAAAAGAATGACTTTCCCCTCCAGGAAGGCATTCCATTGACGGATTTAGGGAGAACCTGGGTGCCAATTTGCATAGTTTAATACACAACATTGAGAATTCTCCCTCTTTATTGTGTATTAATAATAATAATAATAAAACAAATATGGCTATTTATATAGCGCCGGTATCCGCCAGGCTCTGACACTCATGGCGCTATACACATATTATATTTGTTCTTGTGCTCTTTCTGCCCCTGCTGAATGGCAAGTCACTAAGGGTAACACAGTTACAATACTACTACACTATTCAAATTTAAATTAAATAAAAATGACTAACATTGAAGAGGAAAGACATCGGAAAGCAATATCAAAATACATAGAAACAAACACACAAGCAATATGTGATGCCAATAAATTGTAGGAAAGGAACCATTTAAAAATGCATCGACAGATAACAAAGTAAAAGATTTTATGCCTATTTCCCTCCAATCCATTTTTATTTTGTTAGACCGTCTTTTCGGTAATGTAACATAAATGAGGACAAGTTGAAAGAACAGACGTGTGCACCGCAAGCCTAATATGAAACGAGGTACCGGTGCAATAAGACGAAATCATGATTCACCATCCTTTCAAAGTAATATCTAGTGACGTACTAGAAGCGGGGGTCAACTTTTGAAAGGGCACTTGCATTAGGCGGGGCGCTGGTCTCTTCTTAAATTACATGTGAGTAAACAGAGACACCAATAGCCATGTTTACTTATGAATTTAAATTGATGCATGTTTCTCTCCCAAACACTCGGTTTCCAAATTTTGTTCACAAAGTATGATTAAAATTAGCAAACAGGTCTATTCGGGAAAGGCTAGCTAGGGGCCTATCCTTGCTTTCTTTTTGGTCCCTCTCCCTTTCTTCACTTTCTATCTCCTTGTTGTTGTTTTTTTAAACATTTTTTTTATTTACTCCTGTCATCTTATCACTTTTTTGGCATTCGATTAGGGTACGTGCTCCTACCCCTTCACATCTACGCAATTAATTAGCATCATGTTTAAGTTGATTAAATGGTTTACCTGGTTTAACGACTCGGGCGAACTCTTGAAAGCATGATGTATTCAGATGACCCGGTACGAATGTTCCCACTGTTACCAACGCATCATATTCATCTGAAAACAAGTTGTATACTTCAATAATAAATCGTTCTCTTATGTAACCCAACTAAAGTTTGGATAAACATTTCCGCATCTAAGAGATTGTATATCAATGAATAGAACAAAACTGACGACTGACATAACTTGTGACAGAAGGAAACCATATATCAATATAGAACAAACTAGTTACTCATATACCTAAGGTAAATGTTCATGAAATTATTATCATTATTATAAATATTATTATATCCTGTATTGGTTTTTGAATGGTTGGAAATACTGAATGGTTGATAGCTCTTCACGTGACCAGAAATATGCCAACAATTTTGGAGTTAACTTTATTTTTCTTTTAACTTGTACAAATTTAAAATGTTTCATTTTCTGTCTACATTTTTTCGAATTTTCTTTTTAATTTAATACATTTCACTAAAACATAAAATGTTTAAAATGTTAAAAAAAAAAAAAAAAAAGTTCGATTTTATAAAAAGCAGGATATAAAACAAATAAACCCTGTCTTCTTTTCGAGGTATTGGTTAAAACCAAAGGCCTCGGTGGCTCTAATAGTACCATTTGCTTTGGGGCACTATTGGAGTCACCTCTTGCCCATAGTTTCAACCAGAACCTCTCAGGACAGTGTATAGTATTATGATTATCATTATTATTGGGATTATTTTCATTACTATTCTTATCATAATTTTGTATCAACTTTACTACGGTTATAAGTAGTATTGCTATCAGCATCATCAGCATCATCGTCATTATCATGATCAGTGGTAGTAGTGGTAGTAGTATAGGATTTCCCGTCCATTTTAACACATTTTCATTCAATTTCATAAGTCTTTTTAATTCAATACCGTCCCGAAACTTTCTTATTTTGCACATTTATAGTAAATTTCGTCTTTGGTCATTCATTTTTGAACGATGCCGTCCATCCGGCACTTTCATCATTTTGCATCTAATCTCGTCAAAGTCAATTCAGGTTCGTCAACCTCGGCTACCAATGTACAATTGCATGAATAAATTTCGTCATCTTGCGGTCGATTTCATCAAAGCGTCATTCACATCCGTCCCTCGTTTATTATAAGGTCTATGCAAAGAATTTGAATGGATCTCTCTTGAAAATAATGGCATAAAGACGGATTTTATATTCAAATTCTACCGCGGACAGCCAAGTGAGACAAATTCAAATGAAATCAGACGAAAATGAATGGACAAGTGTTTATATTGATCGACCAATGACTAATTTGAATGAAAAATGACTAAATTAAGTTTGAAATTAGCACGATCCCGGATTCCTAGGACAAAACTGAAGTGCACAGAGATGAATTTGAATTGAAACATGTTAAAATAACGGGAAATCCTATAGTAGCAGTAGCAGCATTAGCATTAATAGTAGTATAGTAGCAGCAGTGGTAGTATTAGTAGGAGTAGTAGTAGCAGTATTACGGTAGTAGTATTAGCAGCAGTAGTAGTAGCAGCAGCAATAGTAGTAGCACAGAAGTAGTAGTATTAGTAGCAGTAGTAGTAGCAGTATTACGGTAGTAGTATTAGTAGCAAAGGTAGTAGCAGTAGTACTTATTCA